AAAAAAGCGGTTTTCCGGGGCGGGGACGTCAGCGGGATGCCAGCGCTGACGTCACAAAACTCGGGCTTCAGCCCAGGCAGAAGTTGCCCTTGGGCTTGCTCGGGCTCGTGGGACCCACCACCAAACCGGGCTACGGGCCCTGCGCTGGAGCTGCCTCGGGCTCCCTCTGGCAGCCTTTCCCCCAGGCTGGTCCATGCGCTGGAGGTGCTCTTAGAGTCGCACAAAGGAATTTAGAGTTTGTCTAGCAGAAAATTCTAGAGCCTGCTATTTAGGGGATATCATTAGGCCTGCGGGGCCATGGGCCGGTGGGGCCTCGCTCAACCCATCGAGAACAAGCCTAGCCTGTTGTTGAGTGGGTCGGGCTTGGACTTATGTATCTAAACTCCGGCCCGACCTATAAATCCGGCTCATTTGAGCCTAAGAAAGCCCAGTTAGGCTTGCCCATAAAAATTCGGCCCACGGGCTCCCATACATATAAATAAATATATTTTAAAAACCCAATTTAAATCAAAGATAGAGAAAATCATTACATTATCATTGTAAGAACTAAAAATAAATAAAGTATGAGATAAAATATGACTTTATTAATATGGCGGTTGTATAACTATATCTTTATATTTAAGAAGGAAAAAATAATAATTATGAAGTTATGAACAAAGAAAAAAATGAAGGCATAATTATATAGACAAATATAAATAGAGAACTATGAAGAAGAAAAAAAACATGAAAACACAAAAACATAGAAAAAGTAAATAAAGAATTGATAAAAAAAAAATTCATATAAAAAAAGACAAAATAAAGTAGGCAGATTTAGGCCCGGCCCGTTGGGGTTAATCCGGTCGGGCCCTATGGCCTTTTCAAGTCCAGTCTATGAGCTGGGCTTGGGCTTTGAATATTCCAAAAAAAAACTAGCCCGATCAGGCCCGTTATTTTCTTTTTCCTCTTTAAAGCCTAGCCTGGCTCGGGTCAAGCCCATGAAATATGGGTCGTGGTAGCCCGGCCCTACCCATTGACGAGGCCTACTACTATACTTATTTTCCACTCATTCTATCTACTTTTTCGCTTTTCTCCCCTTCGCTGACTAGACTTGGAGGGAAGTCATTCCAGGCAAGAGAGCCAATAAGGGAAATCCTCCCGGTAGAAGAGAATAGACAAAAGTAAACATGCCCACACCTTATTGCTTATTTAGGGGCAGGCAAAAGAGCCTATGGGACCATTCGACAATATTTATAAAAAAAACAAACAAAATGAAACAATTTTAGACAATATTTAATAGGGCTTTTTTTTCATCGGAATATATATGGTTTTTTTGGGGACAAATTTAATAGGGTTTGAGATTGCTAATTTATAGCATGGAATAAAACTTTAAAGAAGTCAATACTAGGGATGACAATAATCCCCATGGGTAAGTGTCTTCACGAGGATTCGATCCTAATGGGCCGAGTATGAAGGTTAAGAAACAGATATAAAGATGGGTTGAGAGCAATTTTATGGTAGGGTGTTCGGGGACGGGGCAGGGATAATATTCTAATCCCCTACCCGAACCCTCTCTGTTTAGAATATATATATATATAATTTATTTTCCTAATAAATATACTATTTAGATATGTGATATGGTGGCTCTACCTTTATAATGATGATCATGTCTTGAACATGTATTAATTTTTTTTTAAATAGTCTATATTTTTAGTTAGTGAAAATGGAATTAATAACTATATTGTGCTCGTAATACTCTTTGTTTTTTTTTAAAAAAAAAATTCAACAAAGTAGCTTTTTATTTTATTTTTTTCTATAATGGGGCAGGTCAAGGAATCTGTTTCCCAATGAAGGTGGGTATGGGGAATCCCCAATTTGAGTATTACGTGGGAGAAAAATGCTTAACGGGGATGGGGATGGAATGACATACCTACCCTAGATTCGACCAATTGCCATCCTTAGTTAATACCATTTAGGGGTGGGCGCAGTCCGGTCTGGTTTTTAACTCACACCGGAGTTGGAATCGGTACTTTTCAACCAATATGATTTAGTTCAATTTTGGGGAAAACAAATTTATGAAACCGATTTCGATGTAGTTTTCAGCTTTTTGATTTTGGATCGGATGTTTTTCTTTATATTTTTTTTACAAATTCTAACTAAAAGTTTAAATTTTAGGCTTAAAAATTCACAAATGACCCAATTTCATGCAAAGAGAGATGATTGAGCCTAGAAAATAGAAGTGCTTTGAAGTTAGGCTTGAGGAAATATTACTTATATGATTAGAAATTTAGCACTGAACTTAAAATATTTTATAAATAAATAAATAAAATACACAGTCAATTCGGTCGGATTTTATAACGTGTGAAAATAGCACTGAAACTGGTTTGAATCAATCCAATTTGGTTCAGTGCCAGTTTGTTGACATTTTAGTCAACACAGGTTTTTTCAGGTATTTTTCGTCAATGTGTAAGTTTGCTGACCGAATCATGGGTGAAATTACCTGTAGGATGACTAAAAATCCTATAAGAGGGTGGATAGAGCAATTTAAGATTATAATCAATAAACAAAAAATGAACTTTAGTAGCAGGATTGATATGGCTTATCAATCCTGAAACGTACTGGGCGTAAAATAAAAGAACACGTAGATAATTATTTTACATGGTAAAACCCAACCTCTGGAGAAAATCCACAAGACTCCTTAGTTCAACATAAATCCACTATAAAACGATGATTACAAGAAGTACTCACACATTTATCCTAGACATATTCTAGATAATATTTACGGACTTCTTTGTAACTCAACTTCTGTCACGGAATGATCTTCGACACTCCTTATGTTGAACGCAATACTGGTCACGATTGCTTCAAGTTTGCCGGAGGAAAACCGCCACCACGGTCTTGGTGTCCTCAACCGTATAAGTCACCGAACAATACAAATGAATACAATATGAATGATGAAATGATTTGATAAATCACCAAGTAAACAAGGAACACTTGATGACTTATGACAAGACCCGACCCAAATTCCACTTTGGAATCCGACCCGAACCATGTGAGTGTCCGACACCTGGCTAATGTCAGGCACAAAGACCAAACTGCCCTTCTAACTAAAAATCCACTTCTAAAATAAGATTATCTTCTGTCGAAAATTCGGCAGAGTTTCCCCTGTAATTTTCTCATTTCCCAAAATTTCCACCTGTCATCAAACATTTATATAACTCAATCGTTCAGCATGCATTCAATTATATCCAAACAAATTAAGCATCATAATTTTCTGGTCTCATGTCGTAATAAATCAAATAAATCAATCTGCTAATAAAATTCATCTCAACTTTCAAAACAACTGACATCTCCAAGCATACATACGTCACGGCAGGTTAAACAAGCGACTTTTAAAAGGACAACCACGTCATTATTAAATCAAAACCGACGTGATAAGCAATTACAACCACGTCCTTTATTGTAATGCAACGGACGTTGAATATATAATCCACGTCGGTTGTGTTCCTATCCACGCCTTCAATACTGTTTATAACGTCATCCTTTGACAAAAACCGACGTGGGGGACAGTTTTGCACGTCGATGTTGAGTAATATTATGTCATTTTAAATCTTTTAGACGACGGTTATTTATAAAAAGTGATGTCTAACTCTGTCAAAGGGCCTTCTTTGTACAATTTAAACGACGAGTCTCTCAAGAAACAGTCGTGGAAAAATGTTAACACGTCAGTTTTTATTATAGTTCTCGACGTGGATAACTACATAAGCGTCGATGATGCCAGGTGCAGGACGTGGTTATATCATGTTACGGCAGTTATTGAGAGCAAATGACATGTAATACTCTTTAAACATCTGTTGGTTTATGTGAACGTCGTCATTTATGTTTTAGACATCGGTTTCTTTTTTTGTTTAACGTAGTATAAATTAACCACGACGGTTTCTAGCTTATCCAAGTCTTTTTTCCTTCATTTAGGGGCGTGGATAATTATCTGTACGTCGGTTCTTCTTTTGATCTTGACATGTAACACTCTTTAGACGTCTCGGTTTTCATGAAACCGTTGTCTAATGTTGTCGGAGATTTCATTTTAGGCTAATTATATAGTAATTACACGTTGATTAATAATAAATATGGACGTTGAATGCCTTAACGACGTCAGATATTAACCGTCGTTGTTTTGTGTACAAAAGATGGCGTCGATTTCATGACGGTTGGAAAACCTTCTAGACGACTGTGGATTCCCGTCGTCTATTTCGATTTTTGTAGTAGGGCACTATTATTTGGTTGTATCCTGCATTGCCATCCATGAAAGATAGCATTTAGTTATGAGCAGCTCCATCTACCAACATATCTACCGTTGACACAGGGTACTCATCCTTAGGAGATGCTTCATTCTAGTGTCTGTAATCCACACAGATTCTGACTGCTCCTGTCTTTCTTTTGAGGACTGGCACAATATGTCGGCAAAACCAATGTGAAGAATGAAGATCATTCTAGAGAAAGCCACACATATGAGGCTGGGGTTAATCTTCGCAAGTCGGTGGAACAAAGCATGTCGGTTGATCAAGCCTATAAATAAGCATGCAATCACAACAATGAGGAGTGGAGTCCAATGAAAGAACTCTTAAACTATTAGGGAGCAAAAAAACTACCCAACCCAAGTCATATGGGGAGTCCAATGAAAGAACTCTCAAACTATTAGGGAGCAAAAAAACTACCCAACCCAAGTCATATGGGGAGTCCAAGAAAAGAACTCCCAAACTAAGGAAGCCAAGAGCTACACAAAGAAAGCTATGTTGAGAGCCAATAAGCTCAACAATCTAAGTGTAGGGCCAAATAGCCCAAACTACTCTAAATCAAGTGTGGTGGCCAATAAGCCAATATGCTAAGGAGGCCAATTAGCCTACACAAAGCTATGTAATATTCTCCTCCAATGTAATAAAATCACTTTGCTTCAACTATTGTCTATTCTTCTAAACTCCTTCACTACATAAACCAACAACAGTGTCAGAGCAACACACACATCACACCCCTAAATTCTAACATCAGGCTTGTTGTCCTTCCTCTGTTACCAAGCTGTTGCTCTCATTATGCATCTTAATTATAGCACTTGTGTATATTGCTTCTGTCTGAAATCGAAATACCATGTTCTCAGGTGAGGCCGCATACCATTGGTCAAGCAAGCAAAGTTGGTGGGGTGTCACCGCCTTCCTCATTATCCTTGAATATGCTAGGAGGAGAGCGCAGCTGCTAAATTCTATCAAGACAGATACAGATCCACATGTACTTGAAGAAGTTCCTTTGACTGGGACACTCACTCAGCTCATGATATTTCTGTGCTTTTCAGAATTGGCATTTGAATTGTATTCAGGTGTATCCAAAAGTATCAATGTAAAGGAAACACTCTGGAGATCGAGCTATCAGCTACCGTGTGTTCGGGGAACTCTGATCATTCATGTGTTAACTAGTACTACGAGTATGCAACAGAAGTGAAGATAGAAGTTAAGTTGAAGTGCAACTTTTATATTACATGTTTTCAGGCTATCATATTCTTAGTGGAAATGGAAAGTATCTATATAGGTGTTCTAATTTTACCTTTAGGAAAGTAGCTTAAATAACAAATGTTTTCTTTCAAAATTAGGAAATGCAATAAATCTGTCGAAGCCATTTTCACACTCAAATTTTCTCCTCATGCTGCATGCACCCCTTTTTTAAAATTTCTTTTTAATCTTGTGATTCCGAATCTACCCTTCCAACTGACTGAAGAGAGCTCTCTGTGACTGGCCTGGCCATTTTTCTTTTAGGTTACACTCATCTGGTCTTCTTCATACCGAAAATGCAAAAGCTTCTGTGTTTATATATATTTTTTTTTATACAAGCAATATTGGGAAGGGGAATTAAACCTAGGACCTTGAATGTAGGGATAAATGTTCTTAACCACTTTAGGGCTTCCGCTACAAGCCCCTTGTATCTTTTTTTTTTTTTTTTCCCATTCTTTGACGTATGTATTTAACTGGATTTTAAAAGCATTTATCCCAATAAACTTGGCTCACAAATTTGATGTTCCTAATGTAACATCCCACATCGACCAACGGAGAGGGGGTGATGTGCCTTATATGTACATGCCCGCCTCCATCTAGCACGAGGCCTTTTAGGAGCTCACTGGCTTCGGAGTCATAGGAACTCCGAAGTTAAGCAAGTTGGGGCTAGAGTAATCCCAAGATGGGTGACCCACTTAGAAGTTGCTCGTGAGCTCCCAGAAACAAAGTCGTGAGGGCAGAAAGGGGAGCCCAAAGCCAACAATATCGTGCTACGGCGGAGCCGATCCCGGGATGTAACAATTTGGTATTAGAGCCACTCTGCTGTGTGGTGCGAGTATGCCGACTAGGACATCGGGCCCCTAAGGGGGGTGGATTGTAACATCTCACATCGACCAACGAAGAGGGGGTGATGTGCCTTATATGCACATGCCCACTTCCATTTAGCACGAGGCCTTTTGGGAGCTCACTGGCTTCAGAGTCATAGGAACTCCGAAGTTAAGAGAGTTGGGGCTAGAGCAATCCCAGAATGGGTGACCCACTAGGAAGTTGCTCGTGAGCTCCCAGAAACAAAGCCGTGAGGGCAGAGAGGGGGGCCCAAAGCGGACAATATCGTGCTACGGCGGAGCCAATCCCGGGTTGTGACAATTTGGTATTAGAGCTACTCTGCTGTGTGGTGCGAGTGTGCCGACTAGGACGTCGGGCCCCTAAGGGGGGTGGATTGTAACATCTCACATCGACCAACGGAGAGGGGGTGATGTGCCTTATATGCACATGCCCGCCTCCATCTAGCACGAGGCCTTTTGGGAGCTCACTGACTTTTGAGTCATGGGAACTCCAAAGTTAAGCGAGTTGGGGCTAAAGCAATCCCAGAATGGGTGACCCATTAAGAAGTTGCTCATGAGCTCCTAGAAACAAAGTCGTGAGGGTAGAGAGGGGGACCCAAAGCGAACAATATCGTGCTACGGCGGAGCCAATCCCGGGATGTGACATTAATAGACTTGAAAGATGTAATATACTTGTGCTCCAAGTAATTGACTTAATCCAACAGACGATTGTGATTTTGGGTGGGGACACCTCCCAAGAAAGCCCTTTTTGATGCCTCAGACTAGTGAGAACTTCACAATTTATCTAAATAAAACTAGTAAGTAAAGCAAAATACAAGTGTGTTTGAAAATAAAACAACTTACGAGTTCAAGCTTGAAATATAATACATAAAAGGAACTGCCAATTCTGAAACCAACCACCCCCCTCTCTTAATTCAGTTTTACAATTTTACCACATTTTAATTAAAATTGCATGGTTTTACTTTTTACTTTAGCAAAGGGATAAGCATCAGGATGTCATGAACTATATAATTTTTTTAATGAATATCAATAACAACATGCAAAATAATAACCTTTTATGTTGTGAAAAAATATGAGTAATACTAGCTTACCACATTATGTATCACCTCTCTAATAGCGGGTTCATGGTGTTCAGGGACAACATGTGTTTCTTCAAGTCATCAACTCAGCAGCGGAGCTTTAACTGTCCGTATCAGTTCGGTAACTGCGTGGGCGGCGACTGTCCCGAGACGGCGGTGGAGTTTGAGGTTGAGGAATTGAGGCCGGGGGACATATATAATCGTATTTGGGACAGAGATGGGTTGCTGGACAACATTTTCGCGAGCGAGATTGAAGAGGTTATTGTGGCGTATGAAGTAAGAGGTCAGGATTGTGGGGAGTTGGCTTCATACATAGCCAACCTAGCGTTGTATAACTCGTTAGACAAGTACAATGTTAGCCCCTTTCAAATGAAGGCACAGAAGGCTGGACGAGAGCACGTGGGAGACAAGATCGACGACATCACTGTTGTCGTCTCACGTGTGTTTTCTTCTACTACTAACCTTAAAAAAAATTCAAAATAAAAAATACAAAAAGTTATCAATTGGAAGGAGCACTGGAACCACCACTAGAGCCTACAGCCTACAGTTTCAGTTTCACAATGGTGAGAGACAGAAAGCTTTTGACGTTCCTTGTAAAATGCATTTCTACGATACGCTTTTAGCTGCTTTCGCAACTCAGCGAACTTAGCTAAGTGCTTTCTAGAATGTGCAACCTAGAGATTACACAAAACACGCGGGGATAAAGAGAAGGTTTTTCATTGAAACTGAAACAAGATTTTCAATCATGAAGTTCAAAACGGATGAGTAGGAAGAAAAGAAAGCTACATTAACGAAAGGTGGTTCCCTATTCAACATATTTTATCCTCTCAAGATTTATAACACTAACATTGGTTGGGTACAACGACCCGAAGTTTGGGTACTTTTATGTAGTTAACCCCTTTTTTTTTGTTTTTTTTTTGTTTTGTTTTGTTTTTTCAGATTACAACATTAGCTATTGATTTGTTCCAATGCAGAAGGCTCTGTAATTCGAATGCACAAGAGAAAATTACCCTTTTTTTTTCTTTTTCTTTTTTGTTTTGTTTTTTTGTTTTCAGATTACAACATTTGTGCCCGCGCGATGCTGCGGATTTTAAAACCATCTGAAATGTGTACAAAGTTATGAAAATATGTAGCAAGTTTAAGTTACAAAATAAATACTAATAACATGTTTATATGTAGAAGGATTTTGACCTTGAAGACCATTTATGAACCCTAAACCCTTGGTTTTTTTCAATTTTAAGTTTTATGAATTTTAAGTGATTTTTCCATTAGTTGGTTGATATGGCATATATGTGGAGCCCACATCTCCAATAAGATAGTTTCACGTGTATTTAAAATACAATATATATTTTTAAATAATTTTAAGAAGAAAATCAAAATTTTATGAATTTTAAATTAAAAAATTAAAGATCATTTGTAATAGGCGCATGAACCTCAAGTATGTTTTGTGAGATATATATATATATATATATATATGTCATGTCAGCAAACTAACGGAGTTTTTGATGGAATCTAACGGCAAGGACTATTTGTGATCGCACATACTAACCTTGAGGACCACGAATGACATAATAAAAATGGTCTGTGTTGTTAGAAACTCTGTTAAATTACAGACGTGGAAGGTAAGTGGGCTCCACATCTCAAATAATGTCGTGGCATGTTGATAACATAAAATATATATATATATTTAAAAACATTTTAAAATAAATTTTTTTAATTTTTTTTTTTTAAAAGTTGAAAATCCTTTTTGTTCTTTCTCAT